GCCAGTGCTTGGGGAGTCTCACCTTGCCTAGAGACTCAGCAGCCTTTGAGTAGCACCACCAGCACACGCTCGCCATCTGCTGGGCATGAAGGGGAAGTTCCATCAGACTCTGGTCCTGCTGGTGGCACAGCTTGCCCAGCAGGGCAGGATTCAGCCCTCCCTGTTCCTGCACACTTTGTGTTCCCAAAGTGCCTACCTACCTGGTCTGCTTGTTGGCCCAGGAATAAGGTGGCACAGCTTTGGAGTGGTCAAAGGAGGACTTTCCAAATGTGCTCAGCTCAATCCTAAGCACATGCAGATCTTGTTTATTGAAAAGTAGATTCTTAATCCTTGTGCTTGCTGCATGAGGTGGGGCACAGATTTTGCTTGTTGAACAAGCTCTCAGCGATGCTGATGCTGCTGGTCTGTGGACCATATTTTGATTCGCAAGACTTTTAGCTCCTTGTTGGAACCCCAGTGACTCAACATCCCTATCACTACTCGGTGACCTGTCAAAGCTTAGCTTTCTTGCTGCTAGGAAGCCTTTTGTTCTACTTCCAGTTGAAACTGAGAACAGCTAGCAATAATGAAATAACTACCACTTAGATACCAGTAATATGCGCCTGTCTCAGAGCTAAACACTCAAACATTGTCTAATTCAATCTTTCCCCAAAGTTTCCTTTTATAAAGTAAGTGTTCCTATCCCCATTACATAGATAAGAAAATTGAGATCAAAAAAAGGTATGTCACATGGCCAGTAACTGGCAGATATGATGTCCAAACTGAGGTCTGAGCTCCTCTGATTCCAAAGCCTGTGCCTAACCAGCCAGTCCCCAGCCTCCCGTCAGAAAGCTTGGTGACTTTGTCTTGATCCAGTTCTGGTTGTTATATGAGGGTCTTTCCACCAACCCTCCCTCTTCAGCCTTAATTGTCCCACTTCCTTCTGTACCCTCACCCTGAGCTTGCTGGATTGTAGTCCACTGGCTGGCAGAAGTAGTGACAGTCAGCCAGGAGCAAGGTGGCCATGAACTGGAAGGAAAAGGGAAAAAGGAAATTATCAAGTCATAAGGCCACTCCACCATGAGATCAGACACCAGGGCCCATGAGGCTGATTCTGGATTTGGTCATGTTCCCCACAGCACTGTCCCCCTCCAACCCCTAGTGATACTAGGTTAGATTTTGCTAACCCATACTATTCTCTGAAGTGGATAGATCAGAGACAGGATTTGCACACATCTCATTAGTCTCTATTTTTTTTTAATGTGAGTGAACCATAAACCACAGATATGGATCCCCACATGTGAGATACTAAGTTAGGCGATGAAGGACCATGGTGAACCCAAGGCCATCCACACATGTGCCCTGCCTCCAAGGAGCTCAGAGCTCCACAAAGAATGGAGGAAATAATCCTAATCTTTAAGGTTGTTACTACAGAAGGACACAGGGTGTTCTGGAAGTCAGCAGAGATGCAAGAGTGAAGAGGCCTTTGGCAAATGGAGGGGAAGGAGAGATGGTTTTATGGTGGTGGTTGGCCTTGGGTCCTAACCCTGTGTGCTGGCGAGAGGATCAGTGGGAGGATTCCTACCCAGAGGAAGCAACTATAGCTACTGAGGGAGAGTCCTCTGGTCTAGTGAAGGGCCTGAGTGTTGTGTTAAGGTGCTTAGATTTGATTACTTATTGACTCATTTGGCAGTGTTGTACTAATCACTTCTCCACACCATTCACAGGGACAAAACAAGGCAGATAAAAAATCCCTAGCCTCCAGGCTTTGAATTCTGGTCTTACAGGCAAAGGCAGCTCCTAAGCGCTTTAAGAAGGAAGTTGACAAGGGTGTGGCAGTGTTTGAAGGATGGGGGTGGGGGGCAACAGAATGTACTGTCATCACAATTGACAAGTTCCCCAGGACAAGTCTTCGGTCTGGCAAGTTATTTCTCACTTGATACCAGACATTCGGCTGGGCCTGCCTTTACAAACAGGAGTAGGACCCAGCCCTTCCAATGATGGACTTGCAGTTGGGGAGGAGACAAACATGCCAGCCAGGCTCTCAGGGTGGGAGAAGAAGCACTGATCTGTGATGTTGTGAATTTGTGTGGTGTAAATACTGCCAGGGCTGACTTCGAGCTATTTAGCAAGACATCCCTGAACATGGACTTGGGAAGAGAACCACCAACCAGCGCTCTGCAGCTGGTGGAGTGGGCTCCAGTGGCCCGCTGCTGAGGTTAGAGGCCTGTAGCTAGAGTGTGGAAACCCAGCAGGAAGCTAATAGCCAGGCCTGGGAGAGAGAGGAAAGGCTTGCAGAAAGGCGACAACTGACCTGAGTCTAAAGGCTGTGTGGGCATTTGTCAGGGGGCCAGGAGAGAAGGGCAGCCGGGGTTGAAAGACTGGTAGAAAGACAGCGATGAGCCCAGCTCTGGGGGCCTGACTACGCCCCTATATGTGGAGGGAGGCCGGTGGGAGAGTGTTGGATGAGGGCTGCTGACAGGGGGCAGAGGGAGGCCGGACTGGAGAGGAAGGCGGAGGCCAGAAAGGACCTGAGGCTTCATGAGCCCATCCCAGAAGTTCAGTGCTTTCTTGCTACATGGGAAGCCATCAGGGTCCCCAGAATGCAATGTAAGATCCTTTGGATGCTTTGGTGTTTTCTGTGGGTAAGGTGGAGGTCAGACTGAAGATGAGCTAATGAAGGCAGCGAGGAAGAGAAGGGGAAGGAGCTTAGCTTGGGACCGCCTTCTCCAGGCCCTGCTTCCCCCTGGCTCACCAGGAGGGGGAGCTCCAGGGTGGAAGATGCGAGCTCTGCAGGAAGGACAGTGCTTTTGAATTCTGCCTCTACCACTTGCCACCAGCTAAGTCACTAAGTTCTGTGCCTCCAGCAGTGTGAGGAAAGGATCCTCACAAAGTGCCCAGAGCAGCCTCTTGCCCATAATAAGCCCTGATTACCACCACCCGCTCCAAAACTTTTCTGGACCCCCACTTTCTGGCCCAGAGACTGTTTCCTTGCTCTCTGTTGTCTGCTAACACTGAATTGCCACGGCCCCGTTCCACATCTGTCCCTACCCTTCTACCTAATCTGTGAGCTCCTCAGGAGCAGGCAGACCTTCTCTGTAGGTCCTAGCGGGTCTGGCACAAAGTATATGCTCAATGTCACTTGCTGAGTGACCAGGCAACTGGGTGGAACACCGGGTGTCGGGGCTCAGGAAGCTGGGCCAAGGCTAGCAGCCCAGATAGAAAGGGGAGGGGAGAGGGGTCTTTTAGGGACTCCACTCCTGCTTTCCACTAAGTTATAGAGCCCAGCTCTGGGGGCCTGACCATTCCCCTGTATGTGGAGGGAGGCCGGTGAGAACCTCTGCTCCTCTATTTAAGAAAATGGAGGACAGAAGTTGGTAACATGGATGGAGAAGTCAAAGACCAACAGAATCCCAGCCCCTGCCTATGTCCCTGCCTAGGCTTTGGAACTTTTTGTGTCAGAAGCTCATGGCTTTATTTATCCTTTGGGCTCCCCAAGGAGTAACAGATGCTAGAACTCTGCAGAAAGCGCTGAGCAGCTTTACCTCATAAAACATACACCTTGAAAGAAGCACCAGGCCCAAGTTGTAGGCAGTAAAGGGTTCTGTCAGCTCCAGAGAGTCCCATCAGGATGTGGAGCAGGAGCCCACCATCACCTGAAGGAGGCAGAGAACAACAAAGAGGATGACAGGGAGCAGCCAGGGCACCAGGAACCAGGAATTTGTTTGTGAATCTCGAGAAGCAAAGGGGAGAGGTCACAGGCAGACTGGCCACCCACCTGCCCCAAGCCCTCCCATCAGCCAGCTCCAAGGCCCATTCATCCCCACCTCTTGTTTCCCAAGCATCTGACATTAAAGCTGTGGCAGGTGAAAAAAATTAAACCTTTCATTACATGATACCATCTCCTACCTCCACGACCTAAAGCCCAGGTATTTTTATTCCAGAGCTTTCCAGGGTACTGTCATCATGAGGACCTGTAAGTAGAAGCAAAATCTGGGTATTGTCCAAAACCACCACCCCCTCTACCTACTATTACCGCCTGAGGGCCTGTATAACCTGGTTCCTCAGTCTCCCCGGCCTGACCACCAGCCTCAGGGCCACCCCTCCATTCTTGCCTTCAAATGTTAACTATGACCACCCACCATCCACCACTGGGGAGACCCCATGGGCCACACTTGCATCACACCTCACAC